TTCAACTCCAAATGGTAACCATTCTCTGAATGAGCAAGCTATTGCACTGAAATATTAGAATACGTTGAAATAAAGGTGTTCCGTCTTGAAGTGACTACTGCTGTGAAAAGCTGATTTTTATCTGTTAATCAACTCTGGCTTCAGGTGCTTTGTCAGTAATTTCTACCAGTTCTGTGGTGTGTTCTTCAGAAAATGTATAGCAAATAAGTTTGGCTTGAATTTTTGTCTTTAATGTAAATTATTTTAATAATTCTGGTATGTTTTTAGTTCTAAATATAGGATGACAAAATGCTAGTTTAATTTTAAATAGATTCATTTAAAAAGTATTTAAATCAGATTTAAATAAAATGCATTTTTTAAACTCTTTATGTCCTCTGTATTATCTAAATCTGAGCCTGTACTGAAGTCCTAGATACCGAGATGAAACTTCTTTACATCCAACTTCTTTGGTAGTTGTACCCACCTCCATACTGTGAGGTCTTAGTCTCTTCTATTTTCTACATTTTAGGAATTGTCATTTTTTGCAGTAGACCTCCTCCTTTGCCTTTATTGATACTTGACAAAAGCCTTGGAAAGGAGTCCCTGTCATCATAGATCACATGCCTCAGGGAGGTCTTATGTTCCCTAGTGTACATGTTTGTGTACTATATAGACTTCCGATATGGGGCACAGTCCCTTTTCCCTTTGTCTCTGTGGAACTATCAATATCTTTCCTGTGCTCCTTATTCAGCTGCATTGAGATGTAGATTAAAGTTGTATCCTCTTAAAGAATTTTCTAGGGGTGGCTCAGCCATACCATTCAAAGCACTTTCAGATTGAGAAGAGCCTCACAATAAGAAAGATGACCTTGTGGAAAAATTTGTGCACTTAACGTTGTGATGGGACCCTCAGGATACAGTTTAGAACAGTAGGAATGCTGTGTTTCCTTTAACTCTTCAGCCTGAGCGCGCTCACAAGGTTTTGCTAGTGACAAGCAGCCCTATGCCTGCCTGAGATGCATGAATGCTCTCAAAGCCACTTATGAACAGTGTTCATCTTTTCCATCCATATGTAGATGTTTTTCCCATCCATATGTACAGTACATTTTCTTATGTACACTGAGGCATGTGTGAAAATGCACTCCTATACTATACCTCAGAACTAGACCATCATGCACTGCTCCAGGTGAACTGTGCAAATGGAACTGTGCAAATGGATTGTGGGCATATACTAGCCTTTGTAAAACATAAGCAAATTACTAGATACTTAGAACTTCCTGGCAAAGATAAGTAGTAAAACAAGATTATTGACCATATACTCCCTAAATCAACACTCGTACATAAGGAGCTTAAACAGATCTTCTGCGAAGGTAAGTTTACTCCTCTTGCTAGTTTGCTACTTCATATCACCACCTATCCTGTCTTGTTGGCTTGCAATGGGACGAGCTTCTACATCAATCCAAAAAACTTTGAGGAGACCAAAAATAAATTCAAGGTAGTGGCTACAAAAGGCCAGTTGATGATGGATTCCATTCTGAGGGTCTGTTCACTAAAGCAGAGAGAACAGCCAGCTTGAACCAGTAAGTTCATCCTGGGTTTGAAGGAGCCAAAGGTGTAATCTTACATGTGTCATGTAACGTGGAATGAAATCCAGTAGACTAAAGCAGACTCTTGATTAGATTTTTGGATGAGTTCAAGTGTTAAATCAGTGGTTCGTTGCTGAGAATTTTTCTTGAAGTATATGAAGATCAGTAGTGCCCTTATTCATTGTATGGATTGAGTTGAGCTGAGAAAGCTTTGCCTCAGTTGATCCTGAGATCATACTGTATTTCCTCTATCCAACACTATTTAGATTTTTAAAGCTATTTCCACAAGTTGGGAGCTGTTCTCTGCCTGGTACTTGATTGCTGTACTCTTGTCAAGGTTTTTTGATAGACCTTCTGTACTGTGTTTTTTCATAAGGACAGAATTGCATTCAAGCCACGTCCAAAATGTTTTACAAACATTTTTTGTATTTTTTCATGTGAATCAATTTATATACTTATTGTTCCCCCTTCCCTCCCTCTCCAAAAGTTCTCCTGTGGAGGCTAAACTCTCCACTGTAGACATTCTTAAGATTGTGTTTTTTATCTTGCTAGGGCAAAGCCAGACTATGTGGTTTTTGGTAAGTCTAAAGTGCAGCCTGTTTTCTCAGACTCAAAATGAGTTAGACTGCATTAAGATTTCCTGCTCATTAAGTAACTGTCTTTCTCCCTCAAGTCAGGGAGACGCTCTGCTAGGGCTCTGACATCTGTAGTCTGCTTTTGGAAAAATCCCTATTTCTGTGTTCTGTAGTATGCCCACTTGAAGTTCAGTTCATATATTTACCAATCCCTACTCCATTGTGTCAGTTTCTAGATCAGAAGCTCAGTTTGGAAGGACTCTCCTATAGTAGTTGTGTGATAGGAATCCGATCTAACTAACTACTTGAGAGAGAATTGCTAATTACACACCTACAATGGGATCCCTCCTGGATTACTCTGTCTTTTTACGGTAATACTTTTTGCAAGATGCTTTTGTTCATTTGGATCTCAAGACTCTCCTTCCTTATCAAGTGGTATGGAGTTCTTATCTGGATTTCTGTATTGGTGAAAGAACTGAATGGTATCTGCTTGATCATACTTTCCTTAGGCTATGTCTAGACTGCAGTGGGTATTCGAAAAAAGGGGCCTTTAAAAAAAAAAAAAAAAAAAAATCAAAACAAACAAACAAACATACTTTACCTGCATCTAGACTGCTACTGTGTTCTTTGGAAATTAAATCAAAAGAACACAGCGCTTTTTGGACAGCGGTAAACCTCATTTTATGAGGAGGAACACCTTTTTTTGAAAGTGCTCTTTTGAAAAAGGCATTCTTGACTGCAAACCAGGCTCTTTTTGAAAGAGCATCCAGATTGTCTGGGTGCTCTTTCGAAAAAGTTGTGGCTGTCTAAACCATCTCTTTCAAAAGAAACTTTTTTGAAAGACTCTTTCAAAGGAAGAGTGTAGTCTGGACTCACCCTTAATGTTGGAGGGTGAAGGTGTGCAAAGTGCACACACAGCCCCAACAGACATTGGGCAGAAAGATGTGCATACCAATAGTGGGATCCTTGTGGACAATACTTCTTGAACTCATTACCATAATTATTTTTTTTCCTTTGGCAGATAAGGTTCTTGTAAACTTGGGCAAAGATCCTTTTGGCCTATGGTAACACAGAGATGTTAATTTCCCACAAAAAATCATAGAATCATAGAATACCAGGACTGGAAGGGACCTCGAGAGATCGAGTCCAGTCCCCTGCCCTCATGGCAGGACCAAGTACTGTTTAGACCATCCCTGATAGACATTTATCTAACCTACTCTTAAATATCTCCAGAGATGGAGATTCCACAACCTCCCTGGGCAATTTATTCCAGTGTTTAACCACCTGACAGTTAGGAACTTTTTCCTAATGTCCAACCTAAACCTCCCTTGCTGCAGTTAAAGCCCATTGCTGCTTGTTCTAGCCTTCAGAGGCCAAGATGAACAAGTTTTCTCCCTCTTCCTTGTGACACCCTTTTAGATACCCCAAAACTGCTATCATGTCCCCCCTCAATCTTCTTTTTTCCAAACTAAACAAACCCAATTCCTTCAGTCTTCCTTCATAGGTCATGTTCTCTAGACCTCTAATCATTTAATTCAGTAAGGTTTTTCAAGGATATTGGAGTCCATTGTGCTAAATGCTAAGGTTATGTATTACTGTGGGCTATGATTGAATGTACATACCTCACTAGAGGGGACACGTCTGACCCCTGTGAAATGTTATGGACTGCAGATTGACTGTATTGAGCAATATTCCAAACCAAAATGACTCTTTTGGACAACCTGTGTCAACTGGTTTGCCTAGAGAATCCCTGTCTAAGATGGGACAGCTAAAAACCAGAAGCCTAAAGTTGGTCACCTTAGTAGGCCAGGGAGGGGTAATACAACTATAATTGCCCTGAACTGTGACAGGGACAATATAAGAAGAAAGTGGTGTTGTCTTCTTTCTTCAGATTACAGTGTGGTGCAGCCTGGTTTCTTATTGTGCAGCAGGATACACTTAAAAGAACAAAAATGTATTTTGCCAGCTTCTCACAGCAGATGTTCTAAGGTTTCTGATAAGTGCTTTCTAACCATGTGTGTCACTGAGATGGGCACTGTAAAATTAAAAATCACACTTTTGAAATTGTATCTAGCTCAATAAGATTAGAGGATATGGTATTTCTTATTTATAGGTGCATTTGACCATACGATAGTGGTTTCTTATTGTTTTTACCTATGAATGTGGTAGAGTTTTTTGTTCTTACATGTCACTTATATTCATAACCTCTAGTCTTACTAGTTGCTTTAGTCACATTAGATCCTTCATACCGTAATGATTTTACAATCAAGGAATATATAAGCAACAGAAAAAGGGTGATGGGGAAGAATAGACCATGGAAGTGGCTGGTGGCAAATTTTTTACTCTAATTGCCCTTCAGTATATAATTAGTTGGTTGACTTACTGTACATGACATGATACATGTGGTACTTAAAGGACCCGGTGGCTCTAAATCCATGCAAGTTTGCAGAGGAAATTGGGAGCAGATGTATTTCTAAACTACTTTTGATGTTTTTAATCGAATAAATTATAGAATGTCTTTTAATATTGATGACTTCAGATGAGGATCAGCTTTAATAATAGTAAAGGTAACAATCTAATTATTTTAGAAGTATCAGAGGGGTAGCCGTGTTAGTCTGAATCTGCAAAAGCGATGAGAAGTCCTGTGGCATCTTATAGTCTAACAGATTTATTGGAGCATTAGCTTTTGTGGGCAGACTACGAAAGACCACATGCATCTGATGAAGTGGGTCTTTGCCCACGATAGCTTATACTCCAAGAAATCTGTTAGTCTATAAGGTGCCACAGGACTTCTTGTTGTTTAATTATTTTAGAATTAAAATATGCATCTTATAGTAATTGTTCTTTCTCTAATATTTTAGCTAATGGGAATGACAACAAGAAATTTAAAGGAGACAGATCTCCCTGCTCCCCTTCTCGTGTCCTTCACCTTCGTAAAATTCCAAATGATGTCACTGAAGCAGAGGTCATTTCATTAGGTCTCCCTTTTGGCAAAGTAACAAATCTCTTGATGTTGAAAGGAAAAAGCCAGGTATGTAATTATTTGTAGGACTGAAATGCAAGAGGGCACTATTTATATACAAGTTTACCTCTTTGGTATCGCATTTGGTTGAAAAATTGTAGGGCCAATTATTTTATAGATTATTTGAGACTTTCAACACATCGGTTTTAAAACTTTATGAAATGATGCAATTGTATTGATCTCAAAATCTGTGTAAATGTCCAATATAATATGCCATTCTTTATATTATTGGAAGAGATAAAATAGAATTATCCTATTGTTTAATATACAGCATGCTGGGTAATGCTTTCTATTGTCTGTCATATACAAAATTAATTGCACACCAATGAACTACATTGATATGAACAGCTGTTCTCAAACATCAAGCTGAGGATAAAGAATTATGGTTATCTGTTTTATTTTTTTTATTTAAAGAAAACCTAATCTTCATCCTGAATAAACAGGAAATCTTTATTTTTAAATTTCTTATAGTTGGTATTTATTAACCCACTGTTCTAGGAATTAGGTTATGTCATTTGACACTAACCAGCTTCTAGTTTGTGCTCTATAATACTGCTTAACTTAGTACATATATTCCCCTGTTCGGCTGATTGGGTAATGGGGAGATAGCATTGGGTTCCAGGAATCTATAAAATTCTTTACAGGAATGTTGTAGTCACTAAAGTTCAATATAACTATCCCTGCCACATGTTTGTGCTTGCAACACAGTGGGGATATAGGTCCCCAACCATCAATGGATTACTCTCTTGGTTGATGTGATGCTGATTAGGCCTCACTTGGAGTATTGTGTCCAGTTCTGGGCACCGTGTTTCAAGAAAGATGTGCAGAAATTGGAGAAGGCCCAGAGAAGAACAACAAGAATGATTAAACGTCTAGAGAACATAACCTATGAAGGAAGACTGAAAGAATTGGGCTTGTTTAGTTTGGAAAAGAGAAGATTGAGAGGACACATGATAGCGGTTTTCAAGTATCTAAAAGGGTGTCACAAGGAGGAGGGAGAAAAATTATTCTCCTTGGCCTCTGAGGCTAGAACAAGAAGCAATGGGCTTAAACTGCTGCAGCCAGGGAGGTTTAGGTTGGACATTAGGAAAAAGTTCCTAACTGTCAGGTGGTTAAACACTGGAATAAATTGCCTAGGCAGGTTGTGGAATCTCCATCTGTGGAGATATTTTAAGAGTAGATTAGATAAATATCTATCAGGGATGGTCTAGACAGTACCGGGTCCTGCCATGAGGGCAGGGGAATGGACTCAATGACCTATTGAGGTCCCTTCCAGTCCTAGTATTCTATGATTGTCACATCCACAATCCCTGTGTATCATTCAGATTTACTACGTGGGTAAAGTAAGGCAATTTTTTCAAATTGCTTGATTTTGTAAAGTTTATCGTGTGTGTGTGTGTGTGTGTGTGTGTGTAAATATAAAATAATAAAATCATGTTTTTTCTTACTGTGGCCAGCCCCAGTGCCATCTCCTTTGGGCATGGGCTGCTCCAGCTCTGGCTCCTACTTCATACCCTGGGGTGCTGTGCTGTCAGGGAAGAGCTGCTGGAGCTGGGTTCACTCCACCATCTGTGCCCAAAGCCCCCCGCTCCTCCTCCTCTTTGCCATCTGAACGGATCCCCCTCTCTGCGCCCTCCCCCCTGTCCCCAGCTAGACACCTACCCAGCCTGCTCCTGCCCCAGGGGAGAGGGGGTCATGCGAGCTTAACAAGTTGAGGGCACAACCTCCTAGTTATATACAAATTACTGCAAAATAATGATACAAAAATTGACTTGTCTGTGTGCTTTTTGGCGGTCTGCAGGCCCTAATGAATTTCTGTGGTAGGAATGAGGATGTCAACATGGCGAACACTGAGCATTATGTGTTCAAAAAAAACACCACCACTTAAATGTGAAATAGGCAGCAGTTCTCAATTTAGGATTTAAAAAAGCGATATAGAACACTGTTTTCTATTGGATGTTGAGAGCACTCCACACATCATATGTTTAATGCCTCCCTGGAAACATGATCAGGTTGTGGGCTCTTTTCCTGTAATACAATTAAAAAAGGATTTGAGGGTTAACTCTACAGTAATTGCAAATCCTGAAAGTATTTTGAAAAAATAAATAGTAAATTATATTTGTTTCTACATATTGAGCAAGTCATATCTGTACTTGTAGTTCACATGATTTTTTTAGACAAGGTGAATTTTATGGCTAAATGATTCTTCAGTCTGTTATGCAAACAATAAAACATTGAAAATTGCAATATTTCTGTTGATTTTAGGCTTTCTTGGAAATGGCTTCTGAAGAAGCCGCTGTTACTATGGTGAACTACTACACTCCCGTTACGCCTCACCTCCGCAGTCAGCCTGTTTATATTCAGTATTCCAATCACAGGGAACTTAAGACTGACAATCTGCCTAATCAGGCTGTAAGTATACTTTTTTTTTTTTAAAGGAATACAATTGTACATTATTTACATTATTGAACATTAATAATGAACAGCTTTCTGTTGATGTACAATGAGCAGTAACCTTTGACAAGATACCACTCTAGTCAAGCATAATTTAGATTGTAAGCTGTTTTAGGCAAGGACTTATCATCATCTTCCATGTCTGTAAAATGCTGTTGCTCTTGATATAAAAAAGGCAATTATAGGCCAGCAGGCTTAAGTTCAGGACAATGGCAAATTTGGTGAAACGGGTAAAAACCAAAATTCAGACACACAGATAAAATGTTGAAAGAGTCAATACTGGGCTTCTAGAAAAAAGTGTGGTGGGCTGCAATCACAGAAGACCCATAGGATTGTTCCCCCAATGTGCTGATCATGCCACTGACATCCGCTTTTTTGATCTTGGGCTTCCCACCACCTGTTCCTGATGAGCCAAATACTCTGGTCTCCCCCAGTCGAGGTACCTCTGTCCTTGAGTAACTAGGACATCTCCCTGTTGAGCAGTGCAGACCCTGAATCACTTTAGTTTTGTGAGGACATAGTTTTGTAGGGCACCGCACCTGGGAAACCAACTCCGAAAAGGAATCAAAACTTAAAATGAACCTGTCATCTTTATGTAAAAGATTTACACAATGAAAGCTCATCTGGTAAGCTCCCTTTATCAATGAGAGATACATTGTGGTTGCTCCATCATAGGTGGCAATCGTTTAGACTGGACCTGATAAGTAAAAGTGTATTTTATTAAATACGAAAAGTAAGATTTTAAATGGTTGCAAGTAAAAACAAACAGATCCAAGTAAGTTGCTAAATTAAGATGAATAGAAAACGCTTAGCTAGTTCTTCACTAAGAAACTTGTAACATGCAAATTCTTACCCAGTTATTAATTCAGGTCTTTCTTTTAAATCAGAGTCAAAAGCATTATCACTACCAGTGTTCCCTCTAAGCTGCTTGGCAGCACCACTTCACAGCTGATTAATCAGCCCCTTTCCAGTCCTTGGGTCTCCAGCCCTTTTTAAAGTTCTTTATATTCTTTTATAGTGTGCCAGGCATTTTTTCAAACTAGAGGAAGACAAAGCGCTAATAGCTTTCCATTGCTTAAATAAACTCTCCCCCCCCCCTGTCCCGTCCCCC